TCCTCCTGTAGTGCTAGATCAGCAGCTGCTCAGCAAGTGGAGGTCTGAGGATCACAGTTCAGAGTCAGCCCAGGCAGACACATCTGAGAGCCGCATTTCCAGCAACTCCCAAAAACCTGGGCAAGGGAACTGTGGCTGCCATGGTTGAGTTCCTGCCTTGAGCAGCAAAGCTAAGCAAGAGTGTAGAAGCCCCAGGACCAGCACACACGTACGCACACGCACGCGCGCACACACACACACACGTGCGCACGTGCACACACACACACACACACACAATTCACAGTTGCGTCTGAACTGTGCCCAGGTAACAAATAATTCTGTAGTCTACACTCCGTGTTCTATTTGGGATATACTTGCTTGTTTCTAACTTACTTTATTTAATTTGAAATGTCAGGATCACTAGACCCCGTGTTGTTCTTCTTGTTGTTTTTCTTCTTGTTGTTGTTGGTCAGACCTGGGGCTTGAACTCAGGTCTGGGCGCTGTCCTGAGCTGCTTCTGCTCAAGGCGAGCGCTCTACCACTTGAACCACAGCGCCCTTCCGGATCTTCCTGTGTGTGTGGAGCTGAGGAATCGAACCCAGGCCTCACGCATGCTAGGCCAGCTCTTGTAGCACGGAGCCCCCTTCCCGGCCCCTGCACCCCACGTTTTCCCCGGCACGCCCCACTGCGTCCCTGCCTGTCCCGGCCCTGCTGACGGCTACTGTCATGTGCGGGTCCCAGGAGACATACGACATGTCGGGCGCCCGCCTGGCCCTCACACTGTGCGTCACTGAAGAGCGAGAAGGTTCCAAGGCGGATCTGGACGCCCTGGAGCGCATGTTCCGCCAGCTGAGATTTGAAAACACCACGAAGGAAAACCCCACTGGGCGGGTACTGGACTGGGGGGGATGGGCACGGGGGGGAGGGGGCACAGCGAGGCCTGGGCCAGACGGCGAGGCCTCGGGAGCCCAGCGCAGCCTCACATCTCTCCCTTCCAGCAATTTCTAGAAGAGATGAAAGCATTCCAGGAGACCCTGGACGGCTGGGCGGAGCCGGTCAGCTGCGCCTTCGTGGTGCTCATGGCCCACGGGGACGAGGGGCTGCTCAAGGGGGTGGACGAGGAGATGGTGGAGCTGGACAACCTCTTTGAGGCCCTGAACAACAAGAACTGTGCGGCGCTGCGGGGGAAGCCCAAGCTGTTCATGGTGCAGGCCTGCCGGGGAGGTGAGGCCCGCCACACCGCACCGCTCCGCGGCCTGCTCTCTACACCAGGCCCGGGGTTCGAACCCAAGGCCGGGCGCTGGCCCTGCGCTCTGCAGCTCCAGGCCAGCGCTCTACCGCTGAGCCGCAGCCCCACTTCTGGTTTTCTAGTGGCTCATTGGAGATCAGAATCTCAGGGACTTTCCTGCCCGGGGTTGGCTTTGAACCCTGATCCTCAGATCTCAGCCTGCTGAAGAACTAGGATGACAGGCGTGAGCCACCGGCACCCAGCTCCCCATGTTACTTTCAAGTAATATTAGGCTCCCACAAATCATGCCCAGGTCAGGGCCTCAAACCACGGGCCTCCAGATCTCTGCCTCCCCCAAGGGCTGAGATGACAGGCATACGACGTACCCTTCATCCGTCATATCCTTCATCCATCCCTCCTCCATCCTGAGCCCCAGCAGAGAGCACACACACACACACACACACACACCCCAGGCCCTTCCCCACCCCCACCCCCAGCGGCCCCTGGGCCCCTCTGACGGGGCTCGCTCCTCTTTGGTGTTCCAGAACACAGGGACCTCGGTGAAGCCATCGGCGGGGACCAGGTGGCCGTGATCGAGCAGGAGCACCCCCAGACCATCCCGACGTACACGGACACAGTGCACGTCTACGCCACCATGGAGGGTACGCGCTGCCTGGCCGTTGGCCAGGGTGGGCGGGTGCTCTCCCCCCTCCCCGCCAGCGCCCCCTTCCGAGCTCCTCTCCCACCCCACCCCAGGGCACATCGCCTATAGGCATGACAAGGATGGCTCGAGCTTCATCCAGACGGTGGCGGATGTGTTCACCAAGAAGAAAGGGCCCGTCCTGGAGCTGCTCACCGAGGTAATGTCGGGCGAAGGTGGCGCAAGACCTGCGCAAGGTGGGACCCCCGCAACCCCCTCCCCCCAGTCTCCCTCCATCCCCACCCCACCCCAGCCCAATCCCACCCAGACAAAAAAGAAATGGAAATGTCTGCTACTCAGGAGGCTGAGATCTGAGGATCGCGGTTCAAAGCCAGCCCGGGCAGGAACATCCGGGAGACTCTGATCTCCCATGAACCCCCAGAACACTGGAGGTGGCGCTGTGGCTCGGGTGGTAGAGCACCCGCCTTTGCTGAGCAGCTGAGGGTGGGGGCGCCCTGCTCCCCTCGGGGCCGGGTCCCCTCAGTGACACGTGTGATTGCAGGTGACCCGGCGCATGGCGGAGGCAGAGCTGATGCAGGAAGGCAGAGTGAGGAAAGTGAACCCCGAAATCATGAGCACCCTCCGCAAACGGCTCTACCTCCAATGAAACCCCAAGGCCAGCTGACAGCGCCGCCAGCCCCCCTGCTCCTTCTCTGGGTCCCCTCCCGGCGAACCCCGCCCTGGCCAGAGCGGGCCAGGCGCTGGGGGTACCCCAAACACCATCACCTCCACTCACCCAGACACAGAGTGCACACACCTAGTCTCTGCGTTGTTCCTCCTCTCCACAATCAAACCACACAGTGTCCACTCTCAAACCCATGCTTGCTCTCCTCCTCCTCCCTCTCCTCCTCCCTCCCCTCCTCTCTCCTTCCCTCCTCCTTCTTTTCCTCCTCCTCTCCTCCCTCTCCTCCAACTCCCTCTCCTCCTCCTCCTCTCCTACTCCTCTTCCTCCTTCTCCTCCTCCTCTTCCTCCTCCTTTCCTCCCCCTCCTCCTTCTTAGTCCTCCTCTCTCCTTTCCTCCTCCTCCTCCTCCTCCCCCTCCTCCTGCTTATCTTCTCTCTCTTCTGTCCCCTCTTTCTCTCCTCCCTCTCTCAGCTTTGGAACTGCCTCCTCTTCTTTTTCTAATACCCTGCATTCTGGGCATTCTCCAAGAAAATTCCACCACTGTCTCTCTCTATTCTGGAAACTTCCATGCTCCATCAGAGCACCACGGGGCTCCAGGGCACCCCTCCACCCCGTATCTCTGTTCTTTTCCACAGCCCATATCACTGACGCCCAGAGAGGTTCAATAATTGGTCAAATGCCACATAAGATGACGGAGGTAGACTCGGGTCTAACTTTAATCCCACTCTCATTTTTCTAAGTCTTCATCCAGCATAAAACATTTCTCTTTCTTCTCACTCTCTTTGGAAAAGTATGATCATTGGCAGGAAGGGGAGCCAACTCAACATGTCCGTTTATGAGGACAATGCATCTTCCCCGTTTTCCCTCATCTCTCCCAACCCCCCTCAGCCCTCAAAGGAAAGGCGTCTCCTTAGCACTGCCTGTGAACACGGTCCCTTTGGCCAGGTCCCAGCATCACGCCTGTCATCCCAGCTACTCAGGAGGCTGAGATCTGAGGAATGCAGTTCAAAGCCAGCCTGGGCAGGAAAGTATGGGAGACTATTCTCTGCACTGAACCCCCAAAAGTCAGAAATGGAGCTGTGGCTCAAGTGGTAGAGCACCAGCCCTTGAGTAAAAGAGCTCAGGGACAGAGCCCAGAACCTGAGTCCAAAGCCCCAAGACCAGACCAGAAAGAAAGGGGAGGCGGTGGGGAGGGAGGGAGGACTTTCTATTTAGTACTGCCTGATACAAGCTGACCCCACCTGGGTGTGGGGGTCTATGGAAGACTTCTAGGAACCCCACAGACCCTGGACTCGGAGCTGGAAGTTGGATTGGCCATGGTCTCTGGTCCAAGCTGAGGATGCATCTTATCTTCCTCCTCCAGCCCCTCTTGCACCCCCACACCCCAGCCCTCCATGGGCCAGTGGCTCCCATGCCCCTCCTCTGCCCTTCCCTGCCCCCAAGACTCCCTAGGGCCCCATCTGCCCTTTCCCTCTCCATCTCCACCTCCCTCTCCACGTCCATCTCCGTCTCCCTCTCCCTCTCCCTCTCCGTCTCCATCTCTCTCTCCCTCTCCCTCTCCCTCTCCCTCTCCCTTTCCGTCTCCCTCTCCCTCTCCATCTCCTCTCCATCTCCGTCTCCCTCTCTGTCTCCATCGCCGAGCCCACACCCTTCCTTGCTCTCCTCCTTCCATGTCCTCCGCTGCCTCCTCACCGTTCCAGAACAGTCTCTCCCCACACCCAGGGAGCCGCGCAATGTGGGAACGGAGGCCACCCCATCTCTAGTCTCCTCACACCCTGACGGGCTGCCCTCTTACCACAGATCCCCACTCCCACCCCGCCACGAACTACACTTCCCACAATGCTCCTGTGACCTGCCTCCTGGCCTCTACCCCCACCAGTGCTCTACCAAGGGTCCCCTCCCCCTCCACCCCTGCTCAGCACCCCCCCACACACATAATCATCCCTAACACTCCTTCCAGTTCATTCTGTCCTCTGACTCTGGATGAGCCGAATGCTGGGAATCAGCAGCAGCTGGAGGGAGGGAAGGCCTTTGATGGACATAAGGAATGATCAATAAACAGCTGCTGAACGTAGCAAGACGTGTGGGAATCCTTGTTCAAACCACAAATCTCAGGCCGCACCTGCGGCTCACGCCTGTCACCCTGGCTACTCAGGAGGCTGAAATTAGAGGATGGCGTTCTTATGTCAGCCCGAGCAGGAAAGTCTGTGAGACTCTTAGCTCCAGTTAACAAGTAAAAACCCAAAGTGGAGATGTGGCTCAAGTGGTAAAGCACTAGCCTTGGTGGGGGGAAGAGCTTAGGGACAGCACCCAGGCCCTGAATTCAAGCCCCAGAACCAGTACAAAATAAATAAGTAGGGGCTGGGAAGGTGGCTCAGTGGTAGAGCGCTTGCCTTGCATGCCTGAGGCCCTGGGTTTGATTCCCCAGCACCACATAAGCAGAAAAAGCCAGAAGTGGAGCTGTGGCTCAAGTGGTAGAGCGCTAACCTTGAGCCGAAGAGCTGAGGGACAGCGCCCAGGCCCAGAGTTCAAGCCCCACCACTGAAAAAAAAATCAATTAAACCATAAAAGAGATATAAAGGAAGTTGTGGATTTGATTTGCCTTTGCTGCTTCCCCATGCGTCCATCACAAGCAGATGTGTTAGAAATTCGGAAAATGGCCAGGTCCTGCTTCTCTATCAACGAATTACCTTGTGCAGGGAAATGGATGGACCTAGAACAAATCATGGCTGAGGTAAGCCAGGCTGAGAGGCGAAGGACGCATGCTCTCTCTCACACATGGAAGCTGGATCTACCACACACCCGCACATAATAAATCATCTCTGCGCTCACACACAGGAGAGCAAAGGCGGGTACTCAGGGCAGGAGCTACAGCACAGTGCCTCGCTGCAGCTGACCACATAAAATGACACTGACAGACATGAGCTTCAGCAAAGGGAAGCAAGAGGGTCTTGTGGGGTTTTCACTTTTTGTTTTTGATTTTGGTTTAGTTGTTTGTTCATTTACCTGTCTTTGGGAGTGTAGGGAAGGCACAGAAATGGAGGGACAAAGGGTGAACAAACGCAGCAGTGGTACTCACTGGACACCATTTTGAAAATGGTCTATATAGCCAGGCACCAGAGGCTCACTCTGTGACCCTAGCGGCTCAGGAGGCTGAGATCGAAGGATCACCATGCCATGCCAGCCCGGGGAGAAAAGTCCATGAGACCCTTATCTCCAATACTCTACTCAGAAAAAGGCAGACGTGGCGCTGTGACTCAGGTGGTCGAGCGCTCGCCCTGAGCACAAAGAGGCTCCAGGGACAGAGCACAGGCCCTGCAGACAAGACTGGAAAAATAAATTAAATTCACATCAACAAAAAAGGATCCATACAACCTGGGGGTGAAGGGCTGGGTGTGAACAAGGAACAGGGGAACATTGTTCAAAAAGATATGCACCCCTCTCCCAACTTGTGTAACAGTAACCCCTCTGTACACTAGAATCATAATAATCAGAGATTTTTTTAAATATTGATGTTGTATACAATTGTTCCCTGTCCAGAATGTTCCCCAGGAGGCCTCTGAACACGGAACAGTGCCTTGCAGAGCCACCCGGCACCTGGGCGCTCACCAGGCCCCAGGAACACACATAGGTAGCCAGGGAGCCACCATTTCCAGCCTGGTGCCAGTGACAGACATGACTAATCAAATCACAGTGAACAAAGATGCCTCCTGGAAGTTGCTCTCTGTTCTGCATCCAGGAAGGGACACCTGCCGGGTTATTTGTACCCTCCCCAACCATGACTTTTATTTCCTGCCAGTCCTGGGGTTTGAACTCAGGACCTGCGCTCTGTCCCTGAGCTGCTTTTGCTCAACACTGGCACTCTACCCCTTGAGCTCCATCTCCACTGCCAGACTTGTGGTGGTTCGTTGGAGGATGAGCGTCTCATGGACTTTCCTGCTCGAGTGGGCTGGCTTGGAACCGTGATCCTCAGAGCTCAGCCTCCTGAGTAGCTGGGATCATAGACGTGAGCTGCCAGAGAGAGCCCAGCGGCATACTGTTTAATGCGTGCTAAGTGAGTCCCGCAGTATTGAAGATGAGACGTCGATGGGAGCACAAGTCCGAGGGCTTCTTGTCCGCATGAAGGATGCTCAGTGGATTCCT